ACTGGACGAGGTAACGGTGAGCTCTGTGGCTGAAGAGGGACTTGGACTGAAATTTCACTGGCCCTGCTCTGACGCTGCAGCCATCCCACTCAATCCCCCCCCAGCCCCCCAATAATCTACACTAGTTAGTAATATTAATACTTTTTTCACCATGGAGATACTTTTTTCACTCCCTTCCCCCTCCGTTTGGAACCCCCCATTGAAACTGAAGGGCTTCCAGGCAGGCTTCAACGCTGCCATTTTCTGTCTGCGGCAATCCAGCCTTGATCCCAGGATTTTGCAACCAAAGAAGTTACAAATTAAGAAACGGGCGTGACATTCTGAAAGTGCTAAATAACACTAACAGCAGCAGCAGTAGTAGTAATAAGACAAGATTTGCATTCCTGTTATATCGTATTACAAACTAGCAGAAAGCTGCGATAGTTTTTTTTGCTTGTTTTTTTTTCCAGTTTTTATTGAGTGAAAATGTCAAACCTTGCATCAGTCATGCAAAAAAAAAATCAAATAAATAAAACACATATATTAAATTTCTAATAGCACTAAATTCAAGTGGAAAAATATTCAGTTCTTAATAACGTAGGTGCTGAGGAGACCAAATTCAAGTAAAATCGGAGCACACCGTCCTGTTTTAGGATTTTTTTTTCACTTTCTGCATTATTTTTGTTTCAAAAACCTATATATAGCTATATATCTATACATATAGGGTATATACATATAGATATATACACACACATATATATGTGCATACATATTATTTTTATATTTATATATATATATACACATACATATTTATAAAACATTAAAAAGAGCATTGGTAATTCAAGCATCGCTTTATTTTTTCTTCTTCTCCCCACCCCCCACCCCCACACAGAAAGAAAGAAAGAAAAAATTAAAAACGAGAAAAAAGTACACATTTAAAATTCAAAATGAGCTAGCAATGGCTTATAGTCCTAGTGTGCAATATGGGTTTTACAAAAGGCTAGAATTCTCCCTCATCAGTTGTCTGTTTGTGTGGTTTGTTTACTCCTTGCTAAATCTAGGGACTTAAAAAAAACCTTTTTGCTACCTTTTAAAAATGATTCTCCCCCCCCCCTTTACAAAAATCATTTCCTATGAACTTTATAACCCTTTTGGGGGAGTGGCTGACTCCCCCCCCCTTTCCCCCAAGAACCAGGAAATAGAGGGTCTGGCCTATAGTTTTGGGTGTGTGTGTATTGAAAACTCTGTTCTCTTTCTTTCTGCCCCCCTTTTTAAAAAAGCTGGTGTGTTCCACTGCAGCCCACCTACAAGCATATTGTCCCACTCTGTGGCCTGACCTAGTAGAAGACACTGTAAGAAAGCTCCTTGAACCGTGGCCATAGGACCACATGAGCCTCCACGGCATTCTCTCTTGTGGCCACTGCTCCTCCTGGGGTCCCTCCCAGCGGTTGTGCCTCTTGCCCTCATAGGATGGGTTCCTGGTCTCCGAATGCAGCCACGCTACATCATGCCCTCTGATTTGCGAATGGCTTCTCTAGGGCCAAATGGCATACATTCTCCAACAGGATGCAACACTGTGGCCAGGGCGGTGTGGCTTATTGCTTGACAAAAGTTAGTCGGGCTTAAAAGCCTTGCTTAATTGGTGGCCCTCTCCTCCTTTCTTCAGATAAACACATGGCGGTCCATCACAGCACTGACACTTGCTGTAACTTTTAAGCCTGTCCTTAGTTTCACCCTCTGAGCCAAGGACTGTTAAGTGCCTCTTCCCAGATCATGGTCCGTGGAGGGCAGTGGATCATATTTATAGATAGACTGTTAAAAAAAAATGCTCCCTTTCATTATTTTGTGAGTGGAGAGAAAAATAAGCAGAAAGTTTGAAACACTGGAGAAGGAGGAACTGTTGTGTTTATTTTGAGGGCCAGGTGTTGAGGAGGAGAGGTGGGGGCTGGCTGGGGAATGTGGTTGCTTCACGAGAGCAAGGGCGGGACTGAGGCCGAAACAAAAGTGGTCACCGAGAACCGCTGGGGGAGGGACACAGAACTGGCTATCTTCAGTGGCCCCAAGTCTGCTTTGCCCCTCATCCCTTTGCTGTTAGCTGGCAGGCGCTGACCAAGCGGTTAGATCTGAGTGGGCACGACTCCTGCAAAGACTTGTGGGTCTAGTCCTCTGTTAAAAGTGCCAGAGAGTTGTCAAGTCCCACACAGACACAGATATGGTTAACTCCTGAGCCTTGTAGGTTGCCAGATGCTGTTCAGCAGATGCCAAAATATCTGCTCACATGCACACCGGACTTGACCCCTGGCCCTAATGTTTCCCAAATAGATTGCTGCAAGCCGGTACCATGGGGCTTGATAGCACCTCTTTGGTTGGTACCTAAGCAGTAAGAAAAATGGGATAACCCTTGCCCAGACCGCCTCTGCTGTCCATCCCTGCCCTCTCCCATTTTATTTTATTTGCATA